AACCTTAGTTTGTGTATGTGACTTGCATTTGAGTTTGAGTACGGATGAACTTGTCATCCGGTAATGCGTTTGTTACAGCGTCCTTTACCTTTTGTGTTTCTTAGCTCAGATAAAGAACGCTAATCTGAAATTTATGTCTGGTTTCTGTGTGTGTTTTTGTGTTTCATTGTTTCATAAGTATCCCTCCAACCTGAGGAAAAGCAGTAGCTTATTATTCTGTAGCTTCGGTAGTAGGGATACTAATTATATTTATCTGTTATGGGTCAGTGCAGTAGAGCTTCCATTCAAGAGAATGTTCTCTGAGAGATAGGCTTAATTTTTATATCGCTGTTGTTGTCTACATTTAATGCATTTGTGCTAAGTTTCATGTATATTCCATGTAGGTTCGCCACTCTCTGATCTACTTAAAAAGAAACGTAAAGAGTTTGATACAAAGTTTGAGAAATGCTTCAACCTTTCTGAAAAGGTATGCTTCTAATTTGTTCTCTTTTTTTTATAAAATGATCTTTAGCACACCCAGAGGTCTTATTTCATGGATGATCTTGTTGTAGTTTGAAATAATCCCCATGAACAAATTTGTCTGGATGTGAAGCCAAGAACAGTGACTGCTGAACAGTGAATACTTACTGTATTCACTTTAGCACTTTCAATCTTCAACTCTCAGAATCTCCTTCTACTAGATGTAGTCCTTCTCTGTCTCTGCTTATATGCGGTTCTGTTTCTCAATGGCGAGCATATGTTGTCAGCTACTAGCTGTCATAACGTACATATAGTGATAATTTGCATTTAATCCAAATTGATGTTCATAGAAGAGATTAGGATCTCAAGTACAGTTTCCTGTGGTTTCAGCATGATTCAGAAACATTGGGGGTTGGCAAGACTGCAATTGCAAACATGCTTGGTGGCATTGGTTACTTCTATGGCCAATCAAAAATTCATGTTCCTAAAAGTACTCAGGCGAGTTTATTTCCATCCCGCATCTTATTTATTATTTTTATATCCCTTTTAATGTCTTCCCACCTGAAAACTATGCGGGACCTCTCGTAGAATCATACAATATAATAATACCTTCTATTGCAGAATCGGAATAATTTCTTGCTGTATTGGCCAACTGAGCTGTACACAGCTGTTCCAAGCCGGCCCTTTTTTCCTAGGGGTTTTTTGTGGGACGAAGGTTTCCATCAATTGTTAATCTGGTTCGTTCTTATTGATCATTCGTATGTTGATTTCTTTGATACGATGCTATTTTAATTGTTTCTTATATCGATTTTCTGAAAGCCACTTTTGATTGAGAAAATATCATTACAGAGTTACAAGCTATACTCAGTTCCACTAGTTGATCATTTTTGGACTGTGTTATGTATACTTTGAGCAGGCGCTGGGATTTTCGTATAACCTTGGATATCGTTGGGCACTGGTTAGACCTATTAAACATAGATGGATGGATTCCACGTGAGCAAATTTTGGGTGCTGAAGCTCTGAGGTATTTACAAACTCTCTCTCACTAACAGTGGTAGTCATGGTTTTTGATGTAATTGTTTTTGAGAGTTTCTTTAACTGCAGTAAGGTTCCAGAGGAATTCGTAGTTCAATACCCGAGTAATGGCAATCCACCAACACTTTTTTTGGTGATACGCGGTAAGAATCTGTTGTTCGTTCTTATACCTCTACTTGCTTTGTCTTTTGTCATTGCTCTCTCTTTGTTTCATGTACGCCTTTGTGGCTTTGTGCCATACAAATTAGTTTATTTTAATGCCAATCCTTGACCAGCATTTGTTATAGCAGAGGGAATCAGCAATATCGTTATCAGCTCGTTCTGTTACTGATATTTCTATTCCTATTACAATTAAATGTTTAGATCTTTGTTGCCAAGATCATAAGAGTGCTTTCAGCTTGCTACTCATTTTGCGGATTGAAAATGTGACCTATTCATGTAAAGATAGAAAAAAAGGCTTCACAATCAATTCAGTTCCATATAGTGACAATCTTTTTTTCCAGATCTGATAGATGCTATAAGGATGGAAAAGTTTATTGCATCAGAAAGGGATGAAGTATTGTCATTCCTTGAGCGGGCTTCTGTACGGTTAGATGCTTGGTTTCAGTGGTTTAATACTTCCCAGAAAGGTAACAACATGGTTATCCTCTAGTTTACAGATTTATAGAACTGTTTTAATCTTCAACTGCTCTGCGTTTTAGAGTTTGTAGTATCGTAAGTGACTATTGTTTACCAATCACAGTTGGATCCCTAGTTGTTAATCACGATCACTAGATGTGACGAGTTCTTGTATATAACTGGTATTTTTATAGTCTTAATATACTTTGGAATGGGCTAGTTCATATTTTCTTTTTCATGAATTGATTAAACTCTAGGCAAGGAGATCGGAAGCTACTTTTGGCATGGCAGAGACAACATAACAACTCGAGAACTTAACCCTAAGGTACCATTTCTTGGTTTCTCGTAAACTGATAGCTTTATTTAACCCTCACATAGACTGTGAGTGTCGAGTTATAAGGTTTTCTCTGACTTTAGCTGCTTCCATATGCTCTATATTAATGTGATAACAATGATTGAGGAATTTTTGCTGCGGTATATTCTTGTTAGCTGCAAGATGCCTCAGAATTGCTTGAGTGTGTGTGGGCGACTTTTTTTTAGTAGGATTGCTACTGTGTCAGTTGTTTATGTGCGGATATGGTAGATCAATTGACAGATCCTCAGAGATGAATCTGATGTCTTAAATCTCCTGCAGACGCTTTCGTCGGGGCTGGATGATTATCCCCGGGCTTCACACCCAAGTGAAGATGAGAGACATGTTGATCTTAGATGCTGGATGTACCTTGCTGCCGATTGCATGCATTCCATCACAGAGCTTTTAGGAAAAAAAGATAAACTTTCAAAGGTTAGCACAAGATGGAAAAGAAAGGGGTGTCTCTCTTATTTTTTTTTCACATGATACTGACTTAAAAAAACAAATCCTGCAGGAGGATTACAATTCAACTGCCAAGCTGCTTTCAAATTTCAATCTTCTGAATCAGGTCTATTCTCTATCAGATGTCAACAATTTTCCCACTTTCATTAATTTTGATGCTGATATATATAAAAACATGATTTCTTTCTCAAACGAATATCGCATTAAACTTTTTCTTCTCACCATTCTCTCTTCTCATTCATGGTTAACTTCTGAGCAGATGCACTACGATAGTGACCATGGGGCTTACTTTGACTTTGGTAATCATACAGAAAAAGTAAGAGAAGCTTCATAAATTAACAAAGTTTTAGTATCAATTTTTGTCATATAGAAGAAGAAGAACGTAGGATTCTTAGTCTTTTTGTTAAACCATATGTTTGGTGATTGATCCCCAGGTTAAGTTGATATGGAAAGAGGTAATTCAAGAAAATGGTCAATTATCTCGACAGCTTTTAAGGAAGACTTTTGGGAAGCCAAAGCTAAAAATGGTTCCTCACGTGGGTTATGTCAGCTTCTTTCCCTTCATGTCTAGAATCATCCCACCTGTGAGTTTTCGGCCAAACTTTATTCCACTGTCTGTGATCTTTGAAACCCTTATGGATCGGTTATCTTTTTGATCTAAATCGTCACATATTTTTGGTTGATTAAGGATTCTCCAATCCTCGAGAAACAGCTTGATATCATTTCAAATAGGAGCATCTTATGGAGTGACTACGGACTAGTTTCGCTTGCCAAAACCAGGTAAGCCCACAAGAAGGAACATACATACTCGAAATTTTCTTCCTCATCGATGATAAGAAAGAACAATGTTTTGATGCAGTTCTATGTATATGAAACGTAACACTGAGCATGATGCACCATACTGGAGAGGTCCTATCTGGATGAACATGAACTACATGATTCTTTCTTCTCTTCACCATTACTCTATAGGTAATTTTCTACCCTCCACATGGTAAAAAGCACATCATTGTACGACAAGACTTCTACGTTTTATTACATTATATGCATTTGGTTTACCATGTGTCAAATTTCCTGCAGTGGATGGGCCATATAGAGAAAAGTCAAGAGCCATTTACACGGAACTAAGGAGCAACTTGATAAGGTATATTAAATGGTATCTGCGATAGAGTGGTCTTGTTTGATTTTAACTTGAAACATGTCATATAAAATACAGGAACGTGGTTAGAAACTATTACGAGACAGGGTACATCTGGGAACAATATGATCAAGTTAAGGGAACAGGCAAAGGCACGCGTCTCTTCACCGGCTGGTCTGCGCTTACCTTGTTGATTATGTCCGAAGATTATCCTATTTTTTAGATTAGAACCTCTTCGGCATAACATACAAACATGTATGAGTTAGAAGAAGATCAGTTTTGATGTAGGCTTTTTGTATTTGCTCATGTTGGTTATAGTGTTACAGATCCAACTTTGGTCGAGGTATATGTCCCAGATTTTTGTACGTCATACGAATAAGTGTTGCAAAAGATATACCAAAACTAAACTCTAATTGCATTTAAGTAATTCCAAAATAAACCAAACAACCAATTGAACAGGAGAGAGCCCAATTTACTGTAGTTATTTAGATTTAGATTAAAATTACATTATTTACTCAAAATTTAAATTATGAAGATCTTTTTTAACTACTACACTCTAAACATAAACAATAAGTCATATATCTAAGCACAACATTTTGGTAGTTCAACGGTTGAGTAGCCGTGTCTTTTTATTAACTTTAAAAATCCATTGGTTTGTTTTGTTTTTCTCTGTCTCAAGGCTTGCTAACTTCACAAATATCAAGAGAGAGGTTGGAATACTCATTTTTTTTCTTTGGTCAAAAGAGTTTGGAATATTCTTATTCATGCTTTTTTACCCATTGTTGACCTAACAACCACTTGAACAGAAGAGATATACATGACTGTTATTACATTAATGCATTATGCATGAGCCAACCACCACCTAGTAAATATTTATAACTCTACTAGTACTATAAATACAACACCCATATTCAGGAGAGACTCATAACATTTGTCAATACACTCAAATGTTTTGTTTTTCAGAATTTTTCAATTTCTTGAGAGGATAAAATTATGGAGAATAAAATGTTTTATTTTGCAAGCAAATGGGAGATGTTATTGATGATACTAGGCACCATCGCTGCTGTTGCAAAAGGACTCACTCGCCAGTTGATGATATTGATTTATGGCGATTTGTTAGACGCTTTAAGCACCACGGATCAAGAAAACATGGTTAAAGAAGTTTTAAAGGTTAGGGTTCTAGATTCTTAGATACCTTTTACTTATTATCTTTGTTAATTTGAGTCACGTTACAAAAATGTGTTTGTTAAACCGAATAATTACAAGTCAGTAGAATGGAGGAACACTAATTAATCTATTAGTATTTTACATTCATTGTTGACACAAAATACTGATAGATTGATGGTTTTGATGCGCAGGTTGGGACATTCATACAACTCATATCAACTTTCTTTGGAGGATTCGCGTTTGTCTTTATTAAGAGGTCTGCAATTAGCGTTTGTTCTTCTCAGTTGCATCAACTTCCCGGTTGATGTTCAAGTAATTGCAAGTAGGATTGGTTCTTCGAGGTTTTCCAAGCTCCTATAGTAGAAAAAAGATCTAGCTAAACAGGAAGAAATAAAAACACAACTTTCGTTACAACTATCATTCGAGTGAGCACAAAGAGTAGCATAAGCTCTCCTTTGACATCTTCACCAACCTCTCATCGTTCCCTTCTCTGTAATAACGTCGTTTTGCAAAACTGCAATGGTCCTGAGCCGATAAGCCTCTAATGAAATTATAGACTCATCGGCTCAGGACCATTGCGGTTGTGCAAAACGGTGTTATTGCCGAGAAGGGAACGCATGAGAGGTTGGTGAAAACGTCAAAGGGCTCTTATGCTACTCTTTTTTTTTCTCATATGAGTGAGTGATAACCATAGTTGAAAACCGATGATGTGGTGTTTCCAAAAATGTTGTAATTTCAAAACTGTGTTTAAAAAGTCTCTGTCGCTTCTCAATATTATAAAATCAACTAGCTTTTTACCTTTGCCAATGAAATGTGAATGTATTTAAACAAATTCCAAAATAAATCAATCATATGTTACAAGAAACAAAGAGGAGAAATCACAACACTAAAGCAGTGTCAAATAAAACACTCTCCACTTTATTAAATTCAGCGTTATCATCAACTTAAGAGACAAAAGCTCTCTTTGGATTTGGATCATATGAAGAAATGTAACAACAACACAATGGCAATCAATCAGGCTGTGATTGTGACGCTGCATACGCAAGAACCAGACAGTTTTATCTCAGATGTTTTCCACTGTGTCCCTGGTGAAGCATCCGGGTCATACACTAAAGTACATTGACCAGTTTCTTCCTGAGACGAAAATAGCAAAAGCTTCCCACTCAGCTTACCAAACTGAAACCCGGCCCTCGAGCTTCCGGACAGCGGAAGAGCCACCACTTCCCAGGTCTCGTCTTCCGCATTGAACACCGACATCTTCCTCTGGTTCTTCCAATCGATACAAAACAGCTTCTTCCCTACTTCAACATGAGCTGTGACCATCTACAAGAGAACATATCATTATCAAGCAGCTGAATCTTCGCTAGACTCGAAAACCGAGCTAAGGAATCGTACTAGACTTACCGTTAAACCGTTTTTGCTTCCATGCCAAGAGCCGCATTGAGTGTTGTACACATCAAGAAGTTTTGAGTTTCCAATAGTAAAGTTGGATCTCCCACCCATCACATATAGCTTCCCGTTGAAGCCGCTAGCGAAACAGCCCCACCTCGGACGCCTCAGAGACTCTATGAAAGTCCACGTACCCATCTCAGGATCATACACCTCTGCACTCGACAGACTCTCGCCATCTACCCCGTGACCTCCCACCACATAAATAAGTCCATTCACCTCAGCACAAGCGAAATCATACCGAGCTACCTTCAGGTCTGCTAGTCTACTCCAGCTGATTTCATTTCAAAAATATACAAAATCCACTCAATCATTGGATCAAAGTTCACAAAGAATGCTGAAATCAAGAAACTAAAAAGCTGACCAACCTGTTGAGGCCAGTATCATACTGATAAACATCAGCAGATGCAACAAGAGAACCGTTGATCTTAGAACAACCAGCGATAACAAGAAGTTTCCCATCAACCACAACAACCTTAAACCCTGTTTTTTCAGGACCAGGCATCGGTGAAAGAGATGATAGCTTCTGTCCCAAACAGTCCATCACCTCCCACTGGCTCTGTTTCCCACCAGCATTCGTCGTTAACACATAAAGCCACTCCTCAAGCATACCGGCGAGTCTTCTCACGGTGATAAACTCTTTGCTCTGGACAACAAACCTCCATTTCTTGCATACACTTCCCATAGAAGGGAACCTAGCACGCGGAACAAGCGCCAAGCATTGCTTAGCGACATCATCAGGCAATCCCGGGATCAAAGGATCATCCATAAAATTCTCAGACAACCGTGAACCGAGATCAAGATTTCCTTTTGAGAAACACATGCCGTGATTCACAATCCTTTTCTTCCCACTTAAAGCAAAAGCTTGCATCTTTCGACCAATCTTTTGAACAGAGAGATAGCTAAATCTCCCCAAGAACAAATCTCTAAACTATTTGTGTTTGTGTATGAGAATGTTATTAAAGAGTTTCGTGAAACCCGTCACGTATAGTGATTTTCAAAGAGAGAGGAATAAACAATGTAGCGGAGAAGAATGGAATTGAAGTGACCACTGATGAATATTGATGTCGAGCACAATCTAATTCATGTTCCATACCAATGGCTTCGTTAGAATCTATGATTGTTGTTGTTAAATAAATGTTGTTTCTTCTCACACACATCTCTGTATCTACCAAGAACATGATCAAAAGATCAGTCAACAACAACAAGATTCTTCCAAAAGAATGTTTCTTTTTTGAGTAAAGAAGATGTTACCATTAAAGGTCATGCTAGAGAAGAAGATTCATCAGCCACCCGCAACATCCATCTTTAGAAGTATTGAATTTTCTGCAAAAAAAAACAAATTCAGATAAGTCAACTCTTTGAACGAAGTCAAGAACCAATAAGATCAACATCATACAAAGAGATAGGGTGCTAAAATAAAGTAACAATTTTGCAAATTACAAACAAGGGAATAAATTTGAATGGCTATAAATTATTTCCTAAAAAGGCAAAACATTATCAAGAAAATCTGAAAATTGAAGAATTCTCACAGAAAATATTATCAAGAAAAAGCAAACACTAGTTTCAAGAATTGGCCAAGATCTCAAAGATCGAAATTTCTTTATAGGAAAAGCAGAGTAGGAGAATCAATGGAGACCTGAAGCAGATGATTCATTTACTTGGGAGAGGAAAAACTAATCCAAAATGGGTAAAGACATTTATACAAAGAAAGGAGAAAATAGCGGAGAAAGAAGATAAAGATGAGGTTATACCGAGAGAATAGGGGAGCTTTGTCGGTTTTTGGGTTCTGTCTTCTGCTTCGTAATGCGTTGAAGTTGGTGCAGAGAGAAGATAATATTTTGACAGAAAGAGAGAGACAGAGAGATCTAATAATGGTAATGGAGGAATACAAGGAGCGTCAGATTAGGGATTATATAGAGAGGCCAATGAGATCATACGGTGGAATGGATCACCGTAGATAATAATGTCAACTAGTCACCACGTCAATGACCCCATCATCCCTATATTTTAATACTATATTAGTATTCATTTATGCTCTGAAAGACATGTTTTTGATTGTGACAACCAAGAAAACAAAGACATGTTTTGATTGAAACAAGCGAGTAACAATGGATTCAAAAAGAATATACAAATTAACTATGAGCAACAGTAACATATCGGTAACATGTCAGAATGCATGTGTAATTACGTATATGTCATTTGTAATACGTTTTTTCCGAATTACATGTGATAGCATAATATATCTCTTTATATTATGTAATTTTTTCGTATTACACGTTATTTATAAACAACACATGGTATTTCTTGGAAAAAAATATTCTATTCAGTATAATATCTCTCTTTATCATGTTATTTTGTAATAATACACGTGTTTATTAAGACCATATCTGATTTTTTTTTTAAAAAGATGATTATTTTTTGGTAATACATGATTTTTTATTAAGATTACATGTGATTTCTTTTTAAAAGTTTCTATTCAGATTAAATTTTCCATAACAATGTTTTTTCTAAAAAAACACTACGTAACAATGTTTTTTTCTTAAAAATTCACTATGTTTTTTGAAATATCATGTCTTTTAGTTAAATATAACATGTGAAATTTAAATGTTACATGCTATTTTGAAAAATCTCACGAAACTGCCTCACATATCGTTGATCTTGCAACAAACAAAGGATAATTTAGGTATTTCACTTCATCTGACAACGTGAGTCCATGGCTATTTTGCAACAAAAAACTTTATCTCTGCTATTTTCTTAATTTAAGTGTTTTATTTGGCTATTCCATAATATTACCCTTAAAACAATATTATTATTCTTCATAAACTATTTTTTGTCAAGATTTTTTCCCTTTTTTTTTCTTTTGTTAAAGTATCATTTTTTTTGTCATATTAATTTTTATAGTTTTTTTATATATTTATTTTTGGTAGGATTATATAATTATTTTTTGAGTAACAGAATAATAAATTCGACGAAAGACAAATTAAAGGATGAAAGAGAGAAAAAGCAAGAATGATGAAGATGATTTTTATTCTTCTTGTAACCAAACCGTGTAATTTACAAAACGAACTAAAGATTCGTATTATGGAGAAATTTTGACAACTTTTACTATACGAACAAATGTTACACAAGTGGGTTCTACTTCTAACTTAGATAAAAACCATGCTATTGCTAATCATTTTACTAAATAGACCAAAACTAGATAAATTTATAATTCCCTCTATATAGCTGCGTCGAACCTAGAACTTGCGTATTCCTAATATCACGTCTTTTTTTTATATTGTCAATACTGGTGTAATAACATGGGCAGCCCCGACCCAATATATTTGGGAGCTTTAGGGCAAATTTTTTTTTTTTTGTTTATTATAATATATAAAAAGAAAATTTACTTAATTTTTAAAAAATTTGCGGCTTTTTTATAGTGAAAATTGTTATTTAAAATTTTTTGGGCCTTTTTATACATTTTCTTATAAAAAAATAGGTTTCTTGAAATATAATTTTCATACTAATAATATTTTTTAAAAATATTTGGCCTTTTTTACATGTAAATTTTCTTTAAAAAAAAAAAAAAGCCCCGGGCCGTCGCACCTCCGCCCACCCCTCTAAGCCGGGGCTGAACATGGGTCAAATTAAGAAACTTTAAAGCGAATGAAAGGATACAAAAACTATTAATACTAGTTCATTGTTTTTTTTTTTTTTTGTGAAAATACTAGTTCACTGTTTACCTTCTCACTTTTAAGTTTTAACACACAATAGTGTTTAGAGTAAAACTATAAATGGTTTCATATTTTCTTTTTATTATTGAAGGTTATTGGTGGTAATTTATTTTGATATATAAGTCAATCAATTTTCAAGTTATTGAAATTAATATACCGACATTGTGAAATTTAGAAGAAAAGAAAAAGACTCAAAGTGGAAAAAAAGAAAGCATATCATCAGACGATGGAGATCTGTTGTGTCTGAATGCACATGCAATCGTATCGTATCCCTTTGTATCCGTCTGACGTGGGCCAACTGGTGTGGGTCGTAGTGGTGACCATGAATCATTGAATCTCTAGCGTTATTAACATTTGTATACATATAAACACATATATAGAGCGTTATTAACAATTTGACATTTGTAAACATCTAAACACAAATATGAATCAATGTATACATATAAATATATATATATATATATATATATATATATATAAAACGTTATTAATATTTGTATACATATAAACATGTACATTAAACATTATTAACATTTGTATACATGTAAACACATATATAGAACGTTATTAACATTTATGTACTTGCTTCAAACATAATTACAACCATTGTAACCCAAACTATTGCACAGAGCAAGTGTAATAGTGCAACGTAATTAAACTACAAATTATCTCTATATATCCTTAACCAATTCTTCTTTGTTCGAAAATAATCGAGAAGATAGCTTCGAATTATGTATGATCTTACAAAAAAAAAATTTTTAATCAGATATTATGACAAAAGAGACAAATATAAACACAAATCTACAAATTTTGTTGGATATCTACAACATATTGATAATGAACACAAGAGAGAAGAGTCAAAAACTGAGCTAGTGAGACTAAAATCGGAAGAAGAGGAGGCTAGTATTACCATTGTTTTGGGCCCCACAAAAATTTACCAAAAACTAATTATGGTCCAGATCTTTACCTCCCACCTAATTATCTCTTTAAAAAATGGATGTAAGAATTTTTTTTTGTGGAATTGAAAGAACATTAGTCGTTTTTTTGTTGACCATCGGATATTATTCGTTTAGAAATTAGATGTTGTGTATTAAAAAAAAAAAAAAAAAAAGTGGTTGGAGTCCATGACAATGAGTACTTTATGTGGTAGGGGTTTTCAATTGCAGTATGAGTTCAAAGTAAATATATATTAAAAAATTGTTTCTTAAACTATGAACCAACCATATATATTAGTGTTGATTTATTACTAATTTGAAGTAATTAGTGATCTATTACTCTGGCAATATATAAGACTTACAAATAGGCAATTAGATTATCACATCACATAATTAATAAATCGCTTTGTGAACACGCCAAATCCACGTCACTTGGTAAGGCTAAAAAAAGGAAGAAAGAAACTATCAAACACAGTCTTATCTCGTGAACATTTTATTCTTCATTATCTTGTAAAGTACAGTGGACATTTACATACATCTTATATTCTTTTTTTTTTTTTACATCTTATATTCTTATAAATATGACTTTGGAGTTTTAGCTAGTTCTTTACACACAATGCAAATAAATATTATAAAGAAAATATTGCTCTAGAGCACTTTATTAAAACTCAATTTCACGTTGGAGTACATTAAGGGTAGTAGACACATTTTTAAGTTTTTTTACTACTATACTCTCAACTCATCCTAACTAACCATGGTTCCAATATTTAATATTTATTTTTTCTTTATTCAAATATCATTCATTTTTCTCTCTCTTTCGTTCTCATCTCTATCTCTTTTTTTCATTCATCTTTTTTTTCTCTTCATCTCACCCAAACATCTTTTATCTCTTTGTACCCAAATATCTTTTATCTCTCTCTTTTTCGTTATCTCTATCTCTCTTATTACTTTTTTTTTTCTTCCTCTCTTCTTCATCTTTTTCCCTCACCTTGTACCAATGATAGTTAATAGTGATTTATGATGAATTAATTTGTTGCCGGAATTTGAGAGAGACGACTCCTCAATGAATTTCAATTTTCATATCTTAGATTCGTATCCATCAGATCTGTGATTTGAATTTCGGAAACCCAATTTTCTCCTCCTTGAGATCCTCAAGAAGCTTCCCAAATCTCAGAGCAACGTCATCTTACTCATCTAAATCTCCATGGACGACATACACGAATGCTCTAAGTCTCGTCTTGTTTAAGTCTCACCCAAACAGATCCGGGTATTTTATCTTCTTTTTCTTTTAATTGATACTACTTAATTTGTAATTAATAAAGATATATGTGAAAACTAATTTCTATGACAGCTTGGGGTATCATTTATCAATGATATAAGGAAAGAGGTTTTGTTGAAATCATGAATCCTAGATTAAATCGACAAGAAGAAGAAGCTTCATGAGAAGAAAAGTGGCTAATTTGCCCTATTTTGTCTGAAGATTCGATAGGGGTGAAAATATGTTTTTTGGAGAGTGAGAAATAAATTAGACGTGGATTGAAATTACCACGTGGTTAGAGTTTGGTGGATGTGCATAGATGGTCGATAATTTGAAATGATTGTGTTGCAAATTTCGATATAAAATTAAAAACAAGACTGTCATATGTTCAAGATTCTATGGATAGTTTATATTTTGTCCCTTAAAAATATTTTTGTGTCAATGACTTCCCACACTTATCTCTATCAGTCACCACTATTATTGTTGACTATTAAGTATGACATATTATGGATGCCACATTATGGATGATACATAATGGATGATGTATTATGCATTATGAAATTATAAATGATTTATGTATAGAAAAAGCATTATGGAAGCCAATATTTTGTTATGTTACAAATCTAATGTGATTTTTGTATAATGTTGTCCACAAAATAAGTGTTACGTTATATAAAAGATCGTGATAAAATATGATGAAACAAGTTCTAGTAGTCATATCCACAAAAGTTATTCCATACAGTTAGATTACATATAAATAAAACAACAATACGAGTGTATATTTTATGATTGTATACATGAACACATCGATCTCAATAATGTTATATGTTTTCAGATTAAGAAACATGTTTTAGATTATTATGGACCCAAAGTGGTGGTTATTGATGTTGTATATATCTATAAAAGTTAGGGTTTAAGGTTGAAGGGGTAAAAGTTAGAGGTTGTATCGTAGGGTTTAGGGTTATAGTTTTGGATTTCCTGTTTAGGGTTTAAAGTTTAGAGTTAGGGATTTAGAGTTTAGGATTTAGGGTTTAGGTATAGGGTATAAAAGTTATAGTTATATGGTTAAGGGTTAAGGGTTTAGTCTTTATGGTTTATGGTTTAGGGTTTAGTTATATGGTTAAGGGTTAATGGTTTAGACTCTATGGTTTAGGGTTTAGAGTTGAGGGTTTTGACTTTAGAGGTTTAGGGTTTAATGTTTATGGTTTAGGGTTTACTATATATCGTCCTCGTAGCTATGTTATGATGGAGAGGGTTTAGTATTTAGGGTTTAGGGCTTATTAATTATGATTTAGTATTTAGTATTTATTTAGGGTTTAGGGTTCCTTTTTCAGTATTTAGGGTTTAGTATTTACTGTTTAGGGTACAGTTTTTATTGTTTAGGGTTTAGGGTTTCGTTCTTATGGGTATAGTATAGTCTTAGAATTTGAGCGTATATGGAATCCCGTGGCTAGGTTTACATGGAAAGGGTTTTTATCCAACCCCGTGGCAATATTTTGATGGTAATGTAAGGGTTAAGCGTATTGGATTTATTGTTTATGGTTTAGGGTTTAATTTATATCAAACACATGGCTATGTTATGATGGATAGGGTATAGTATTTAGGGTTTAGGGTCTAATAATTAGAGTTTACTATTTATTATTTATGTTTAGGATATAGTATTTCGTGTTTAGTATTTAGGGTTTAATATTTATTGTTGAGGGTTTAGGGTTTTGTTTTTATCGGTATAGTGTTAAGTGTTTAGGGTATAGGGTTTTGTGTTTAGTTTTAGGGTTTAGCATTTACTATTTTGGGTATAGTATTTAGGGTTAAGGTTTAAATCTCTATGGTTTAGGTTTTAAAATTAAGGGTTTTGAGTTTAGGGTTTAGGGTTTAGGTTTAGGTGATTGGGCTTAATTTCTAGGGTGTTGGGTTTAGTATATAAGGTTTAGGGTTTAGTGTTTAGGGTAAAGTTTATATGGTTTAGGTTTAGGATATTATGGTTAAAGAACCATGACTGTCTACAATGATTCTAGGGTTTATGGCTACATACTTCTCATTAGAGTGAAAAAATAAATTAGACCTGAATTGAAATGACCACGTGGTTAGAGTTTGATGGATGTGCTTGTATGAGCGATAATTCTAAATGATTGTGTTGTCAATTTTGATGTAAAATTATAAAAACCTATCATGTGTTCAAGATTATGTGGATAGTTTTTATTTTATCCTCTAAAAATATTTATGTGTTATTTGATTTTTTTATATTTATAAACTATAGTAAAATGGATCTTCAAATGTAAAGAAAGAGTAATTATAATTTATTAGACAATAAAAAATATGTTTATCTCTGATTTAGAACTTATAATCTTTTTTTTCTTATAATCTATTACCTTCATTTCTCTCTCTTTACAATCAAACTCCACTCCGAATATCGTGCCCACCCACAACCATTAGATCTTTTTTGTCGGCAATATCCACACAATTCCATCATCTCATCTTTCAATGATAACGAACCGTTTTGGGTTTACGGTTTTAAGTTTAGGGTATAGGGTTTAGGGTTTAGTGTTTAATCTCTAGGGTTTAGGGTTTAGGGTTTAGGGTCTATGGTTTAGGGTTTAGTATCTATGGATTAGGGTTTAGGGTTTAGGATTTAGGATTTAGGGTTTAGTGTGTAAGATCTAGGGTTTAGTGTTTAGTCTCTAGGGTTTAGGGTTTATTCTCTAGGGTTTATGGTTTAGGCTATAGGGTTTAGGATTTAGGGTTTAGGCTTTAGGGTTTAGGATTTAGGGTTTAGAGTTTAGGGTTTAGGGTTTAGGGTTTAGGGTTTAGAGTTTATGGTTTAGGGTTTATGGTTTAGGAACTATGGTTGTCAACAATAATGAATTTTAAAATTATCACTCGTGGTGGCACAGTAATCTATGAATTTTAAAATGAGCACTCGTGCTGGCACTTTTGGATTGACGTAAAGATTCTGGATATGTAACCATAGTACATCGAACACACAAGTTTAACGTTTTTTTACTTCCTTTGCATGAAATTTCCATTGAAGATAATATATGTGGATTATGAGTTATGGAAGACGAAGCGCAAGTTAACTAAATCGAAGTCAACACCAAAATTATTGTATTTGTGAAGATTAATCTATTTAGTGTGATTTTTAGATAGAAAACAGAAAACGAATGTTAAGAGATTTCGAATACCAAACAACCAGAACACTTATTATTGAATATGAGCCAACTTAAAACAAACTTAAGAAGAAGCCTCTATTAGAAACAGAGGATGTCAAGTCTCAAGGATCACGTGAGTGCACGTGATGCAAGTCCAAAGACGGTGTAGTTCACAGATATAAGAGACTTGAAGCTTCTTCAGCAAAAAGAACACAAGACGAGAAGATTTAAGATTCATCTTCTTCGTTAGAGAGAGAGAGAGAGAGAGAGAGAGAGAGAGAGAGAGAGAGAGAGAGAGAGAGAGAGAGAGAGAGAGAGAGAGAGAGAGAGAGAGAGAACAGAGAGCTAGTGAGAGATTTATGGGTTTGGGTATCTCTTCTCTAATTCTTTTTCTTGTTCATGTATCTTGGGTTAGGGCTTAATTCCGAGGGTGAGTGAGTGTAATCTCCAATGAAACACAAGTGTAAACTCTTGATTGATTATAGTGAAAGATCGTGAGGAGGAGGATCCTCGCCGAGACTTACCTCAGAGTTGCCAATTGCAACTAGAGGGAACTCGTAAATCATCGTGTACTTAGTTTATGTTTGTTGCTTTAGATCCGAGAATAGAGTCATGGGACGTAATCGGAGAAACCAAAAGAGAAACAATTAAATTCAACAATCCACAAGGAGCCATCCACAAGTGACTACCCACAAATAACCATCTATTTGTACATGGCTTACCATGTATTCTTTCACCACCCATTGTAAGCTGAAAACCATTTTTTCATTCTTTATCATAGCAATCTGATGCATCCATTTGATTCATTGATTCTTTATACTGCACGAAACACCTCTATGACAGTCACATTGTGAAATGAATAAATTTATGTGGACAAGAAGAAAGAAACAGTTACAATCTAAATCCAAGACTCAGATCCTCATGACCAATCTAAAGCAGAACCAAAACTTGTTCACTTTTTGATCTTTGTGGTGACCAGAAAAAATTTGTTGGAACAAAAAAAGAAAAACGTGAAATAATTTTGAAAACAGTGTTTTAATAAATAATGCGACACAGAACGATCTCACGCCAAGCAACGATGACGACGAGCTCTTCCACCGAGAATCTTCCACGTGTCCTCATCGTCAAACGTCCCGCCGCCATGGCTGTGTTCGGCGACAGATTCGTGGCCTCCACCAAGTTTGAGATCTTGAAAGCCTTCGAGTCTCCGCTTCCTCTCCCTGAATTCTTGGCCAATCACTCTGACTCCGTCTCCGTCGTTATAGCCCATGTAGCTGCTCCCGTCACAACCGATCTGATTCGCCTCCTCCCGAATCTTCGCTTCGTTGGTACAACCAGCGCCGGTGTTGACCACGTCGACTTAGTTGAGTGTCGTCATTGTGGCATCTCCGTCGCCAACGCAGGCTCAAGCTTCTCGGAAGATGTCGTCATCGGAAAAAAATAATTTTAAGAAGGAGAAAAGTAAAAAATAATTCTCGGAAGATGTCGTCATTATAACACTTTTTGTTTCTCTGATTTTAACATCTTATCCCAAATTTTTCATTGCATATGTAAAATCAAAAGCTCTGTTTATTTGATTTTAGATCTAAGAAGAAGAGAGAAATAAGGATGACGATGGTTGCAGATATTTAGGTTTTATTTTTCAGTTTTGTTTTTGCATTATTTTCTCCCACTATCAAATCTGTTTTCTACTTTAAATCCGACGGCCAGAATTAAAACATTTGCATTTACTTCTAACCATTCTAGTTAAGCCTTTATAAAAAATCTGAGGGCAAAATTGTATTAAATTTGGTTGTACAGTGAAAAAACCTTTAAAAAGTATCTACTCCCACCAAAGTGCTCATATTGCTTAAACAAACTTAAAAAGTGCCCCAAAGTGTGAGAAGCTCTATTATAAATTTGTGACATAATATGCATACGGATGGGGGTGGGAGCTCCTCCAAAATGGATTTTCTAAATTGGTATATTGTATGTGACGTGCTCAATTTTACTATTTTCTTTGTTTTCAACCATTAAGGATATCTAAATTTTATAGATTAGATTGATTTCAATACTAAATCGAAATGGATCTAACAAAATAAGACAAAACTCTAGAGGACATATGAACATCTCAGAAATAAAAGTTTCCCTCTAGTTTTTCCGAAACTCTCCAAAATGGTCAATCATTACAAGCCCTTGGTAATAAAGACCTCCAATGTTTTTCAAAGTACATCTTTGATTCCGAATGAACACTTCAAAAAATCTGGAATTTCAATCCAAATATACACATCTTTAACACTTAGAAAAAGGATAATTAAAGTCGTTGGTAGGTATTAGAGTATGGTTTAACTAAACCATACATTGATACAGACTCTCCTTATATACTAAGTACGTAGAATCCGGTTTACATCATACTATATCCAATTACAGACTCAATGTATGGTCTAGTTAATAATAGGATCCAATTAAAAATGAAAAGTAAGACAAAGCAAAAATTTCGTGAGGTTTTGACTTAAACAACCCACCATAATGAAAAGGAAGGCTTGTTAATTTCTTAAAAGCGGCGACCCGAAAGCGATCGTTTCATTTTTTATAAAATCTTTTTCTTTCTAATAATCATTTGTCCGCGTCATGTTGACAAGTTAGGTGGTAGCCATTTTTGACGGTTCATATTTATTTTTGATTAGACTTTAAATTTTGGTGAAAAAAAGAAGAAGATTTAGTCTTTAAAATTTAAAAACACCATTTGTTGATTAGAGTAAATCACATATGTTACATGGCCGTGAGTCACCTCAGGATTTGGATAAAATTCTTTTTTTTTTTTTTGCTTTTCTTTCGGATTTCTTGGAAATATTGAACGAAAGGTATTTTTTATTTGATAAAAAAAGTATACACCTATTTTTCTTCGTGTTTAGACAATTTATAAATCTTACTAGAATATATTATTAAAAAATCAATCGAACAATCAGTTGACTATGGAGGCAATAAAGAGTACTAAAAAGAGTAGTTCCAAAAGGTGAACAAAGCTATTACATGAATGAAGAAAGAAGAGGAAGATCGTTTAATTAAAGATTACGACGCCATAATGTCTTTCTTCATGAAATTCAAGACAAATAATCCACATTTCAAGATTTTTATAGTTTAAAGCTTACACCGTAACCTTTGTAACTCTTTATTGATACCCTGTCGATCATAAGAGATAATTACAAGATGCAAACACCAATTACAAACTAAAATAGAGATCGAGAGCTAGTTATGCACCTTCTAGACACTCATATAGTTTGAGATCATATTAATAGACACATATCTTCTTGTTAACATCAACAATTAACAAACCATAAATAATAAAGATTCAGTTAACAATTGTTAGAGATCCCAATTAACATCTTTACTAAAACACAAATTAAATTTCCAACAATTTTCTCTTTATATTTGATTCCACAATTGACAATGTTTAAATACCCAAAGAAACAAACTAAACAAACTACTAAAGAAGTTGATGATAAAATCCCATTAGGCCATTACTGTAATTTTAGGAGGGTCGACCGGTTTACTCTGGTTAACCGATTTGTTACTGCAAACACTTTAGTCAAACTAGAGTCTTCCCAATCCTTTTGACTCTATATTTATTTTCCTAAACTTATCAAATTAGCAATTACGAATTTTAATGTGAAGATCTCTCTCTCTAGTTCTTATAACTATAATCCCTGTTCTAAAAATCTCCGCCTAGCCCCGATTACTCTCCGCTTAATCGCTAGGCCTACTCTATCCGCTTCGATTAATGACTAATCCCCTAAAAAATCAGTAACCCGATTATTCTCCGCCTAATCCGATTACTTCCCGCCTAATCTTATATACCCCGATTATTTTTTAGATTGAAAGTATAAATTTTTTTTTATTTTTGTTATTCAATCATTTGAATGGAGAGTTTGTGATGTTTTACAATAACTTGTGTTCAAATTTTAATAAAAATCATAAATTTGTAATAAAAATCATAAATTTTTACAATATTGGATTAATATATTTTAAAAATATAAAAATAATTCTAAAACTAATCCCCGATTAATCCCCGATTTTAATCCAATTTTCCGATTAATTGCTAGGCCTATACCGAACGCCCGACTAGCGCCTAGCGATTTTTCAAACAAGGACTATAATCAATGTCGTCAACACTTAGACGAATATGGAAGACAGCAATTTCTTCGATTCTTCTAGAATCTTCAAATGCAGACATTTTCTTCCGCCGCCGCTCTCACCTCCATCCTCCGTCGTACAGCGATCTACAACGGCGGTGTTGGAATCGGATCGGAATCCGCCGCAGCTTTTATTTTCTCTCAGCGAGACGACAAGAGAACCCTAATGTCTCTAGAAATCCCCAGCACCCGAGCCAGAAGACTATTCTCAGAGCCTTCTTGGCTCCGGTTCTCTCGTTAGACGACAAACCTAAACTCAATAAGCTTCAAGCCATCGGTACAATCGCCACCGCTCAAGCGGACTATATGCGTGTCATTGTTCAAGATGTACCTGAGAGTGATTATGGAGATGATGATAAGATTGGCGTTGAGTTGCTTTGTGTGGTGAGAAAGTTGCTGAAGAAGATTGGGAGGACTGTTCTTGTTGGTGATAAAGTTCTTGTGGATAAAGTTGATTGGATTGATCGGAGAGCTAAGATTATCAATGTGTTTGATCGAGTTTCGGAGATTTTGGAGCCACCGGTTGCGAATGTTGATCACTTACTGATTCTCTTCTCTCTTGATCAACCTAAGATTGATCCATTTACACTTACTAGGTTCTTGGTGGAAGCTGAATCTATTGGAATTCGAGTCACAATTGCCTTGAACAAATGTGAACTCGTCACTCAAGAGGTAAGGATGATGAATCATTAGCTCAAATCTGGTTTTGCTTAGGAAGTAAATTGATTAGAGTTATGATCTTGTTTACAGGAATTGGATTCTTTAAAGATAAGATTGTGTAGTTGGAACTATGAACCATTGTTTTTGCTAGAAAGAAATTGCATTGTTCACTACTAGTTTAGACCACTTTGATGATTTGTACTCTATTTCAGGGATTGTTTAGAACCATAAACTTGGTTCCAGGAATTTCTTATGTCATTAGTTCACTACTAGTTTAGACCACTTGCTGCTTTATAGTGTAGACTCTATTTCAGGGTTTGATTAGAGCAATGATCTTGTTTTCAGGAAGTGGAATCTTGGAAGATAAGATTGCGTAGTTGGAACTATGAACCATTGTTTTGCAGTGTGGGAACTAAAGTCGGACTTGATGAGATTGCGTTTACCCTGCAAAATCAGACTTCTGTCATTGTTGGACCTAGTGGTGTTGGAAAGTCGAGCTTAATCAATATATTGAGAAGTAGCTATGGTGGTGCCATTAAACACGAAGAAGTGTTTAAGCCTGTAAGTTTTTTTGTGCTATTTCATTCTATAGCTAAACTTTTTTTTACCATATCCTCATGACTTGACCTTTGTCATATTCAGATATTAGGATTAATGTATGATGGCCAAAAGAAGAAGAATAAAAAGAAGTGGTTTGAAGATCAGAGTGTAGGCCAAGTTTCACATAGAAATGGATTAGGTAAACATACAACCCGAAATGTGACGCTACTTCCGCTTTGTGGAGGTGGATATCTTGCTGATACTCCTGGCTTTAACAAGCATAAGTTGCTGAAAGTAACAAAGCAAAAACTTCCCCTGTGTTTTCCTGAGGTTTGTACCCTTTTTGCTTGTACCCATTTTCCCCCATATGTGGACTTATTGATTGTGACGATAGTGTTTCTTACTCTTTCCTTAGATACGGAAAATGGTTGAGGGAGGAAAATGTGAATTCAAAAATTGCTCGCATTTAGGGGTATATGGCTGTGCTGTGACAGGTGATTGGGAAAGGTATCATTACTACTTGCAACTGCTTGAAGAGATCAGAATCGATGAGGAGTCTCAACTTAAGAAGTATGGAACCAAAAGGGAAGGTGGTGTTAGGTATTTTTCGATTCTCCTGAAACAAACAGCTTTATTTTTAGATTTGGGCCCAAATGTGGATTAATCAGGGAAGCCTTGACACAGTTGCCACATGGGAGAGAAGGGTGTGGAACAAGCGAAACCACAGATAGATCCCAAGAAGTATAGGAGAGAGTCGAGGAAGACGATGAAACAGACAATGATGAAAGAGCTCGAATTTTAAGACAGCGTATTTGACATAGAGAACAATCTAATTGTCTGAGCAATTGAGAATGAGAGTAAGAGACGAGGAGAGATCAACAAGACAATGTCAACTAATGTTTCCACAGACACTTAAGTCATATAATATGTAACATGTTGTACAAAGGATTCTCAGACATCAAGTCAGCTTGTTGTAACAAGTAGGTCATACTCAGACATCAAGTCAACTTCTCTGAGATCCACTATTCTCAAGTTACCATTCTCTTCTCTAACAAAAAAGTAAGTAGTTCCC